GCGTGCCCCGCGCGGCAAAGAGGGCGGGGCTGGGGGCGGGCAGAGGGGCGGGACCAGGCGCTGATTGGCTGCGGCGGGGGCGCTTCTGTCCAGGCGGTGCGCGCGCACAGCCCCGCGGTGGCTGCCGGGAAACGATGGCGGCGGCGGCTCCGCTGCTTTGTGAGCCATGGCGGAGGCTGCGGCGGGGCTGGGGATGCCCTCGGGGGCTGCGGCGGGGCCGGGGATGCCCTCGGGGGCTGCGGCGGGGCCGGGGATGCCCTCGGGGGCTGCGGCAAGGCTGGGGATGCCCTCGGGGGCTGCGGGGAGCGCGGCTGTGGGCGGAAAGGCTGGAGGGCTCGGCAGGGTTTACGGAGGGGTTCGGGGGTTCCTGAGGAGGTTTTGAGGTCCATGAGGGGCTTTTGAGGGGTCGCGGAGGGGATTTTTCCGCGTCTGTCACAGCGCCCCCTGCCGGCTGGGCGGACCGACCGCAGGAAAAGCGGGTCCTGATGCCCCCCCCGAACCCCAGAGACCCCCAAGACTCAGCACACAGAGACCCCACAGGGAGGGGATCCAGGTGGTCCCCTAAAGCCCAGCAGTGGGGTTCAAGGGGTCTCCCAGCCCTCAGGGGAGGGGTCCTGGCAGTGCCACCAAAAGTCTTGGGAGGACATGAACCACATGCAGGTAAGGGGATCCCAGTGCCCCCCGTATAGCCCAGTGACCTCCCAGTGGCTCTCACTATAGCCCAGTAAACCCCCCAGTGACCACCCAGTGTTTCCCAGTGACCTCCCATTGCCCCCTAGTATGGCCCAATGATCTTCCAGTGAGCACCCAGTAACCCCCATTATGGCCCAGTAACCTCCCAGTGTCCCCCCCGTGTGTCCCAGTAGTCCCTCAGTAATCACCCAGTCCCTCCCAGTGCCCTCCCAGCATCCCTCAATAACCCCCCAGTCCCTCCCAGTGCCCCCTGGTTTCCCCCTAGTATCCCCCAGTAATCACCCACTACCCCCCAAAGCCCCCCAAGTGTCCCCAGTGTCTCTCCACATGTCGCTGAATTTTCTGTGAGTTTGAAGGGGGAATGGGGGTTGGTCTGGGGTCAGAGGGTCCAGAGGGGGCTCCTGGGAGGTGATAAAGGGTTGGAGACATGTAGGGTGGGGTTTGGGGACAGTGGAATTGGGGGCGTCAAGGGAGGAATTGGGGCCATGGGGAGGCCCTGAGGACACCAGGGGGGTCTCGGGACTCACCTTCTTGTGGTGCTGCCCCTCCTCTCCCACCCAGGTGTCCCTGAGCAATGGCCCAGAGGTGAGCCCAGAGCTGGCCCTGAGGTGGCCCTGAGAAGAAGTGGAAGGCAGAGGTGGTGCTGAGGCAGGAGAGCCCCGTGCTGGGGAAGAGGCTGAGCTGGGAGTGCCCAGCAGCGAGAAGGTGCTGTGTCCATGCCCTGTGTGCCAGGTGAGCTGGGGCTTTGCTGCAGAGCTGCGGGCGCTGATTGGAGCGGCTGCAGCTGCTGAGCTGGTGGCACCCAGGAACACAAAGTGTGCCCGGCCACGGAGCCTGCAGGGAGGAGCAGAGCCAGCACTGGCACTGTGGGGACACAGGTTGTCCCTGTGCCTTCCCCTGCAGGCCCTGCCCGTCCCTGCTGGGCCCCTGTCCATCCCCATCAGGTCCCTGCCCGTCCCCCCCAGGCTGAGCTCCCCCCAGGAAGTGCTGTGGAGCTGAAGCTGCTGCCACCCCTCTGCAGCCGCTCCCCCAGCCAAGGGAGCAGCAAAGGCAGGGCCAGGAGCAGGGACAGCCCCAGGGGAGCTCTGGGGGGCTGGGAACCTCTTGGCTGGGGCAGGAAAGAGCCGCTGGCCACGAGGACGGGGTGTTGGTCCCAGCCACTGATGGGGCCGAGCAGAGCATGAAGCCTCTTCGGCCACCTCATGGGGTGACACTGTCCCCTCCCTGCAGGATACTGCCCCCAAGATCTTTGGGGGGACCTTTTTGTGTCTGTTGCTGGTTGCTGCTTCATCCTGGGGACCTGAGGGCCCCTCTGCAGTCCCATCCCTGGGGCACAATCTGCTCTCCAGAGCTCGACTGACTCCATGCAGACTTTGCAGGGAAATCTGTGCTCGCAGCCCAAGGATGTCACGACCCCCCGTGCTCCCCCCAGGCTATTTGGGACAAGTTCCCCCTTCCTGGGGGAATATCTGGGAAGGTGGCACCCCCAAAAGCGAGAGTCAGAGAACAGACCCTTTGGACCCCCAACACTCCCAGCATCCTGAAGTGGAACCCCTGACATCCCAGACAGGGGAGACCCTGTAAACCCCAGAGGGGAGAGACCAGAGAGGGGGAACACCTGGGACAATTGTTTTGGCATGAATTTTCATGTTTTGGATGAACCTTAACTTTCAGAAGTTTGCAAGGGGATTCATCTATTTCTGAGGTTTTTTACCTCAGTCTCAGTGGTTTTGGGTTTTCTCTCTGAATCAGTGCTTTAGGTTTTTCTGGGCTGAATCGTTATGTTTTGGAGGTTTTTATGGTCCCAGGATGCCCGGTGAGTCCTAGGGATGGACTTGGGCAGGAGGAACCCCCAAGCCAACGCACTCAGCCCTTGTTTCTTCCCCAGCAGGATTTGTCCTTCCCAGAGCTTGGGTGGATGGAGGAGGAGGATTTGAGGAAGAGGAAAAGGCTGCGGGCCCCCCAGGCAGGTGAGGAGGAAGTCAGTGCCCCTTTGGCCCTTTCTTGTGGTGCCTGTGGGGGCCAAATTTGGGGGGGATATCCTTGGCCTTCCCTCTGGGCCGGAGGCAAATCCCCTGCCTGTCCTTATTCCTTCCTGCCCCAGGCCCCGAGCTGAGGACGGAGAGCACGGAGGACAAATCCCCCCGGCAGAGCCTGCTGGGAGAGGCCGTTTTGAAGGGCTCCCCGGCGCAAGAAGGCAGCGGGGAGGAAAAGGCCCGGAGATGCCCCCGGAGGAGGGGCTGCAAAGCCAGCCCAGGGTGCTCTGAGGAGGAAAGACCCGTCCTGTGCCGGGAAGGCGGCCAGAGCTTGAGCCGGAGCTCGGAGCTGGTGGTCCCTGAGCAGCCTCCCAGCAGGGAGAAGCCCTTCAGGTGCTTGGAATGTGGGAAGAGCTTCAGGAAGAGCTACAACCTCCTCACCCACCAGCGCATCCACACTGGGGAACGGCCCCACACGTGTGGGGAGTGTGGGAAGAGCTTCAGGCACAGCTCCACCCTGATCCAACACCAGCACATCCACACTGGGGAACGACCCTACAAGTGCTTGGAATGTGGGAAGAGCTTTAGGCACAACTCCACTCTGATCCAACACCAGGTCATCCACACTGGGAACGACCCTACACATGTGGTGAATGTGGGAAGAACTTCAGGCGCTGCTCCTACCTGATCAGCCACCGGCGCATCCACACTGGAGAACGGCCCTATAAGTGCTTGCGATGTGGGAAGAGGTTTCAGACCAGCTCAGATCTCTCCTCAGGCATGAGCGGACACACACAGGGGAGAGGCCCTTCCGCTGCACCGACTGCGGGAGGGGCTTCAACCGGAACGGCAACCTTGTCACCCACCGGCGCATCCACACCGGGGAGAGGCCCTACAAGTGTGAGGAGTGTGGGAAGAGCTTCACCTAGAGCTCTTCCTTGACCCTACACCAACGGACCCACCAGTAAGAGAAGCCCCACCGAGTGCCCCGACTGCGGGAAGAGCTTTGGCCGCTGCTCCCACCCCGAATGACCCCCCTGATGGTGAGGCAACCCCTGGAGTCCAGTGACTGTCAGTCCATCCCTTTCTACCAGAAAGGGCCAGTCCCCTTTGCCAGGGGCAGGTTGTGCCAACAGAACCCTTCTTGGGGGGGGTGTGGAGATTCCTGCCTTGGCTGGGGACCCCCAAGGTCACTGCTGGAGGTTGAGAGCAGAGATCTCCCCACGAGCGTTGGTCTGGGGGAGTTCCATCCTACTCTAATTCATAATTCTTGCTTTGGTGCCAGCTTGAGTAGAATTGCTTCAACAATTGCTTTAGTGTAGAGCACTATCCTATCTTATACTGTCCTACTGGTAGTTTTAGTGTTTCTATTGTGCAGTAAATAATTCTGAATGAAGATCTTTTGTCTGATCATTTGTAACCCTAAATAATTCATTTCTATCAATAGATCTGATTTGCCATGATTAAAACCTGGGGGCAAAATGGTTCAGTCCCACCTCTGTAATTTCTCTAATCTGAACCTATTGGCAAAACCTAAGGCTGAGATTGGATCCAACAGCCCCCAGCACCCCACACTAAGTTGGGAGATCAGGGGGAGCACCCCTCTTTCCCAACCCCTCTCTACCCAAAGACCCCCATGGGACCGTCAGATCCACCAGACCACTCCCCTTTTTCCACCCTTCTCCCTGTTTCTGCATTTTTCCATGGTCCCCTGTTATAATCTGCTTAAATATTGCAGAAAGAACTTCAGATTAGAATATTCCCTTGAGCAAAATCTAAAACTCACACAAGTTATCCATTGATACCAAAAACTGATTTGTGTTAATTGCTAAGGCGTGCAGAGAGAAAGGAAAAAATAAGAAAAGGTTTGAACTGCTAAGATTATTTCTATAAGCAGAGAAGAGATACCACTGAAAAGTACCTTTTCCCACTTAACTGGTGTGTGCAGGAGGGGAGAAGCAGTTTCTGCATTTTTTTTCTCTCTGTCCCTGCAGCTTTTGGATGTTGTCTCTGTAGCTGCAGGGGGTCTGACAGCTTTAGTTCTCTGCAATGCACCATGTGTGGTTTCACCGCTCACGCCCCTGTCCCAGACCGTACAGGGTCTCTGCTCAGCCGAAGCTTTGGGCCCTCAGAAATATGGTCAGGGTAGAAGGATAAGGTAGAACTCCCACATGTGGCACGGTGGTCTCAGCTCTCTCCAGGCCGGCACAGTTCCAGTCTCCGGTGGCAGGCAGGCAGCACGCGGTGGCGGAGAAAAGGTGAGGGGAGGTGGGCAGAGATTCTCGGCTACAGTCACCAGTTCTTCTCCCTTTCCTCTCCCTGATTTTCCAAAATTTGTCCTCAAATTTTATAGTGTTCAAAGGAGGTTGAACGTGGTTTCTTGGCACGTAGCCAGTTGAGATATTGGAAGAGATATGATAGTCATAAACAATAACAGGATCTTTTGGCAGGAAAGTGCTGTAGGAAGTCCTGGTGGGAACTTCTGTCAGAGAGCTGACAGAGAATGTTTGATAGGAAGATTTTGAGAGACAGAAACAATTTTTGGCATTTCTGTATTATCTGTGTGTTACAGATGGTTGCCATGGTAAGCGACGTAACAGGGAATGCATAATAGTTACCATGGTAACCAACCCTAGTGATAGGAATGTATGATGATTGCCATGATAACCGTCCATAGCAAATGGAATGCATAATGGTTTCCGTAGTAACTGACTGTAGCAATGGGATAATGTGACAGTTGCCATGGTAACCAACTTCACAATCAGAATGCATAATTGTTTCCGTATTAACCGACCTTAGTAATGTAAATGCTCAGTGGTTGCCATGGAAACCAACATAACAATATGAATGCATAATGATTGCCATGGTAACCAAGGTATCAATGGGACTGCAAAATGGTTACCATGGTAACCGAGGTATCAATCAGACTGCATAATGGTTGCCATGGTAACCGACTGTAACAATGAGAATACATAAGAAGTTCCATGGTAAGTGACAAAACAATGGGAATGCATAATGGTTGCCATGGTAACTGATGTCAAGAATGAGAATGGCTAATGGTTGCCATGGCTACTGACGTCACAATGAGAATGCATGATGGTTGCCATGGCTACTGACGTCACAATGAGAATGCATAATTGTTGCCATGGTAATAGACATCACAATGAGAATGCATAATGGTTGCCAGTCTCCGATGTCACAATGACAATGCATGATGGTTGCCACGGTAACCGACGTCACAAAGAGACTACCTAATGGTTGCTATGGTAACCTAGGTAACAATGGGAATGGACAATATTTGCTATGGTAACTGATGTAGCATTTCAAATACGTAATGGTTGCCATGGTTACTGACATAACAATGAGAATGCCCAATGGTTGCCATGGTAACCGAGGTCCAAATGACACTGCACAATGGTTACCATGGCAACGGATCTCACTATGAGAATGCATAATGGTTTCCATGGTAACCGAGGTGACAATGAGAATGCACAATGGTTGCCATGGCAACCAAAGTCACAATAAAAATGCACAATGGTTGCCATGGTAACCGACATCAAAATGACACTTCACAATGGTTTCTATGTTAACCGAAGTCACAATGAGAATGCAGAACGGTTGCCATGGTAACCAGACTATTTATGTTACAATGAGACTGCACAATGATTGCCATGGTAACCCATGTTGCAAGGAGAATGCACACTGGTTGCTATGGTAACTGAGGTAACAATGAGAGTTCATAATGGTTGCCATGGAGTACTTTTGATTTAGACAATCAGTGGAGCACAGAGGGGTGACAGAGTGATTATATTCACATGTGAAACCAACCAGAGTGTTGTACAAGGTAACTTTATTGCACAAGTTCACTGTAAGGCCCACTGTGCCTTTAGCAAAGTTAACTGGATGTCCCCCATTATCAGAGCTGAGCTCCTCCTTGGCTTGGCTCCACTCTGCAAGAGAGATACAAATCCCCTTGGAACACAATGGTACAGGTCGTCCATAGGGCTGAGGAAGGTGATGGAGAGGAAGATGATGTGGGCAGGGGTCGTTGGCCCCTTGCCCTACAGTGGGGCACGCCCAGACTGTTGCCATGAGGTGATGAACGGGCACTGTTTGGCTGCCACTCAAGCACCACCTTCTGCTGCGTCCTGGCCCTACGTAGTGTAATGTAGAGCTGATGGAATGGGGTGTCAGCACTGCTGGGTGGAGCGATGCTCATCCTTCCATCCACACTGTGCTGCTCCGCGGGGACACCCGCCAAGCACGGGCACCGACCAGCCTTGCAGACCCTGGTAGGCCTGGCCTGTCTGTGCAGGTGAGCACAGTTTATTGATAGGAAGCAACCAAGAAAGCAAACATTTTATATCCTTTTCTTGTATCCTTTTAATTCCCTTTTTACTAGCTAGTATTGTGTCCCTTTAAATCCCCTTTTACTCACTAATACTGTAGTAGACACTGTTCATAATATTGTATGAATGCCAATAGATAAAGTATTTTTTTTGTATTTTTTGTTAGCTTTTGATTCTCTTTGCTAGTAGTTTTTTCTTTTTACTCTCATGGCAATAAAAGATTTTTTGTAGTGTTTGAATGACTGTTTTACTTCTCTTTATTCCAGACATGTATCCTAGTGAACCTGGTACATGGGGTCATACTGGGAGTGACTGGGAGCATTCTGAGGGCAGTTGGGACCATGTTGGCACAACTGGGATATACTGGAGGTGACTGGGATCATACTGGGAGCGACTAGGACTACACTGGGGGTGACTGGGAGTGGTTGTGAGCAACTGGGATCATGCTGGAAGCTACTGGGAGCAACTGGGAGTGAGTGGGACCACACTGGGGGCAACTGGGATATAGTGGGAGAGACTAGGAGTGACTGGGATCATACGGGGACTGACTGGGAGCAGGCTGAGGTCGACTGGGAGAGACTGGATGTGACAGGGATCCTAGTGGGAGGGACTGGAACTGTAGTGGGTGAGTGGGAGCAAGTGGGACCCTGCTGGGGGCAAATGGCTTTATACTGGGAGTGACAGGGAATGTCTGGGTTCATCCTGGCTGTGACTGCCACCATAGAGGTGTCACTGGGATCATACTGGAGTCATACTGGGAGGGACTGGGAGGGACTGGAACTACAGTGGGGTGACTGGGAGCAACTGGGACCATGCAAGGAGCAACTTCAATCCTACTAGAAGAGACTGGGATCATAGTGGGACTGACTTGGAGCATGCTGGAGGCAACTGGGATATACTGGGGATGGCTGGAAATGACTGGGATCATTCTGGGAGGGACTGGAACCATAGTAGGGCTGAAGGGGAGCAACTGGAACCCTGCTGGGGGCAACTGGGATCATATTGGGAGCAGCTGGGCCTCTCCTGGCGTCCTGCTGGAGTCTTACTGAGAGTGACTGCAATAATACTGGGAGTGTGTGGGAGGGACTGCAGCCATACTGGGGATGAGTGGGATCAAACTGGCTTTGTACTGGAAGTGTCTGGAAGGTTCTAGGATCATACTGGGTGTGACTGAACTCATACTGGGATCATACTGGGAGGAAATGGAATCATGCAGGGGGCAAATGGCATCGTCCAGGCAGTGCCTGAAAGTGCCTGGGGCCATCCTGGACTCAGACTGGGAGACTCTGAGAGGGAAAGGAACCATCCTGGGGGATGCTGGGAGAAACTGGGTCCACCTTGGGGGCAACTGGGATCCAATTGGGAGTGACTGGGAG